TAGTTACCTGCAAGCCAGGGCTCCTATCAGCTCGGGGACCTGTGGATGCTTCCCAGAGGCCTGGGTGGGGCCAGGTGCCATGGTCAGACCAGAGCCCAGACTGATGCCCAGCCGGAGGCAGGATGGAGAGAAGGGAGGCCCCACCTTCTCCCGGGCTGGCTGGAGGCAGTGGGGTAACAGCCACCGGGCAGGCACAGGCCCGGCCGTGCAGCACCCGTCTGCCTCATACCCTGCATCTCTGAGCTCCCACCTGCCTTGGTCTCCCCATCAGTGGCCTGGAATTGCAGTACCCTATCCTTGTCATCATCCCCTCTCCACCAGCATCAGCACCGCCACCTCATCTGTCATCGCTATTTTCTCCAAATTCACCGTGACTACCATCAGCATCCTCATCATCAGTTTCACCAAAACTGTCACCACCATCATTGCCGTCGGGGCTCACGCTGTACCGGGCGCTGTTTCTATCTCTTTGAATCCTCGTAACATTCCAGATGCAGGTGCTATGATCATCCTCCCATTTTGCAGGTGGGAAAACCATGGCTTACGATGACAGGGCTTACCCAAAGTCACAGAGCTGGGACGTTACAGAGGCAGGACTTGAACCTGAGCTGCTCGATACCAGAACCCAAGGGGTAACCTCTACATGTCACCCGCTGTCAGGCAAGGGGGTCAGAGGAACAAGCCAGGGGCAACAGGGAACGGAAGCTGGGACAGGGCCACGCGGACTACTCAGGAAGCAGCAGCAACCAGAGGCGCCCTCCGCCCGCCGGGTCTCCGGAGCAGCCACCCACCTCTTGGCCCTCCTGGAGCCTGGCAGTCCTGCCCCAGCCTCCCCTCCAGCTGCACTTTGCCAGCGCTGCAGGCAGGAGAGCGTTAACGGGAGCCATTGTCGCTTGAGAAGCTGAATTCTGGTGTCGTATCCAGCCCAATCTCCCTCAGCGTCCCCTTATTTTCTGGGCCACAGCTGGCCCTGGGGGCTCCTTCACCCCACATGGGTGATGGCCAGGCTGAGGACAGCCAGTGTCTTAGTTCGGGCTGCGATAAATATGGCAGACTGAGCGGCTTAAACAACTCTATCTTCACAGTTCTGGAGGCTGGACGTCTGCGATCCGGGTGCAGTGAGGCCGGGTTCTGGGGCGGGACCCCTCCTGGCTTGCAGTGGCTGTCTTCCCGCCGCAGCCTCACGCGGCAGTGAACAGAGAGAGCACGCAAGCTCTCTCTTGTCGTCTTCCAAGGACACTAATCCCAGCATCGGGGGCTCCACCCTCATGGCCTCATCACCTCCCATCTTCAGATACCATCACTTTGGGGATTCAGGTTTCAATATATGAATTTGGGGGGACACGAACATGCAGACAGGGAGGCTGGAGAGCATGCAGCAGCCCAGCCAAGCGCTTGGTGGTGTCTCAGGACAGACAGAGCATGGCCAAGGGAGAGGGCTCCCCACAGTCTGCCGGCCCCCCTGCCCCAACCCCAGCCCAGGGCACTGGTCTTGATGTATTTTTCACTTAGGGGGTTCAAGAGGGCAGCTACATCCTCAGGGACCAGCCAGGTCCCTAGCACCCTGCCTGCCATTGGCTGGAGGGGTTGGAGTGGAGGATGGGGGATCTGGGGGACTGCAGAGGAAGGACCGGGGTCCTGAGGCCCACTAGCAGGTGCTCACCTCTCGCATGCACTTGGCTGCGTGGACTGACTTAAAGGTAAGTAGATCCAGGAAGCAAGGGAGGGAGGGGAGAGGGAAGAGGCGAGAACACCAAGATGAGGGGCAGGGGCGCCCAGGCCTGTGGGCGGGTGGGGCTGTCCCAGCTGTGTGTAGCAGCCTGGGGCTGTGGGCAGGGAAGGGTTCATTTGCATGTCCCCAGTGCACAGAGCTGGCACTAGGAGGTAGTTCATATTTATGGGATGAAGGAATGAATGGAAACCTTCTCAGGTTTAAAACTGTCCCCTAACAGGACGAGATGCCCAGTGAGGTAGCTCCCCATCACCGGAGCAAAAGGAGTTCTGGAGTCAGACTAATCTGGATTAAATCCCAGCACTAGCTAGCTGTGAACAGGTTATGAGGCCTCTAAGCCTCAATTTCTTCGCCCAAAATGGGGACAATAATGCCTGCCTCAGTTATCTGAGATTTAAAATGAGATCACTTCCAAGGAGGGCAGAGAAGAGCCTTGTCCCTGTGGTAGGAAGCCAGAGAACGGCGTGCGTGCAATGCTGTCTAAGCACCTCCCTCCACAAGGGGTGTCTGGGGCAGCCAGAAGCCCTGAGCCCCCTCCCCACCCTCCTGCCGCACCTGATGGCCTCCTCCCCACACCCACGTTTCTCCTGCAGAGGAGCCACTGGGCATGGTGACCCCGACACGATGAACTTCCCCGGCCAGCTGCCCCAGTGCTGGGAGAAAGCCCCACAGGGCAGCGCCAGGAGGCGGGGACGGAGGGCAGGGCCTCCAGGAGCAAGGCTTCTGGGGTGTCTGGGGGCGCTGGGACAGCAGGGGAGGGCCCATGGAGGCCAGTGACATCTCAGACCAGGGAGTGAGTCTTGTCCCCTACACCCACTGTGCGACCTTGCTCGAGCCCTTCTTGTCTGTGAGCCTCAGTTTCCTCATCTGTAACATGGGAATAATAACAGGGCCAACCTCCCAGGGCTGCTGTGGGGTTTACACCAGGTGACGCTGTGAAAGCTCCCAGTGCCTGTCTGGCATCCAGCAGAGCCCTGGGTGCGTGCACACACACACACACACACACACACACACACACACACACACACACACACGGGGGGGGGGGGGGCTGGCTCCCCCGGGGAGAGCCCTGCAGCCCCTTCCCCGTGCCCCTGGCACATCTGTGGTGGCGCTGCTCACCGCTCGCCCCTCCTGTCGATGTTCCCTGCCAGCTAATGGACCAATTTTTTAGCATTACGGAGATTTGGCCAATTTGGCGGCCCTGACAGAAAGGCGCAGAGTGAACAGTTGCCTGGGGGCGGGGCAGGTGTGGAAGCCAGGGTGGGAGAGGAGGAGGAAGATGGGAAGAAGGGGCTGCATGCACCCCTACCTTCAGCCTGCTCCCAGCCAACCCCTCCTCCCCAGGCAAGGGGGTGGAGCCACTGGGGAGATTACAGAGATAATTAGCCCCACTTTCAACCCCTCCTGTGCACCGGCCCTGTGCTAAACACTTTGCATATATTTTCTCTTTTAATCCTCCAGTAACTGTATGAGGCTGCTTCTGTTATTTGCTCCATCCTTCCTGGTGTGCAAACTTAGGTACAGGAGGTTCGGCGCTTGCCCAAGGTCACAGAGCCAGGGAGTGATGGAGCTGGAATGCCAGCTGATGCGCAAAGCCAGGCCTTTTTAACCATTGCCGAGCTCCGTTTTTAACTAAAGGCTGAAAACTGAGCCAAGACATCCCCCATCCACCCACCTATCCAACCCTCCTCCCTCAGCACACAGTTTCCCAGCTCCAGCTGTGTCTCCAGCCTCTCAGGGCTTCAAGGGCAGGTGACACAGGGGTCCTCATTTCCTTCCCCTGCTGGCTGAGGGTGCAGTCGCACCTCAAAGACCCCCACAGCCAGCATCTCGGCAGGGAGAGAGCGCTGCGCTCCGCGACTGCCGGGCACTGGCAGGGGCACAGCCCCCAGCCGGGCTCTCCCCTCCCGCCCAGGCTGGCTGGGGTGTCCCTCCTGCAGTCAGTGCCAGGCTGGAAGTGGCATCAGCTGTGCCCTCCATTAAACACTCTGGGCCCTTCTGGGAACAAGGAAGTAGATCTGCCAGGGAGGAAGGGGAGGGGGCGCGGGAGGGGGAGGGGAAGGACTGCCACTGGCTGGGGGAGGGGTTGCGGAGCGCGGTGCATTAAGCGATCAGAGAGCACAATATTTCATTGCCGGCAATCGCAGCCAAGACATCAACTACTTGGGGAGAGCAGCCTTAAAAGCCTTTTGATTTTATTTCTTCCACTTTATTTTTTTTTTCCCCTTCCCTTGCTGGTGTCCTTGACGAGGCTTCCCTTCCCCCTCTCCTGCCCCTTCTCCAACCCCGGCTCTAATGCTCCTCTGGGGCCCAGGAGCCCGGCTAAGGAGGGGCTGAGGCTAGGGTCTCCGCTTCTCTATGGCTGAGGGGTCCCCCGTCGGGCCTGCAGCACCCCCAGCCAGCCCAGGGCTGCGCGTGTGCGCGCATGTGTGGGCAGGTGTGACTGGGGAGACTCCTGTGTGTCCCCGGGCTCCACCGTGTGCCTGTCTGCAGCGTCTCCCGCTTACACGCACCCGTGTGTGCCGGTAGGCCCGCGTGCACACGCGTGTGAATGCTGGGTGTGGAAGTGCACGCGCGGGCCTCCCCATGCGTGTGCTCGCGCGAGGTACGGCCAAAGTCGGAGACACCGGGCGTAGGGCGAGGGGGCAGGTGGCAAAGTCAGAGACAAAGAGACGGAAAGACAGAGAAGGGCGGGAGAGAGGAGGCGGAGGTCGCACCCCTGGGCGTCAGCCTAGTTGGGCCAAACCATGGCCCGGGTGGAGACCCCCCGAGGCCCGGAGACACAGGTGTGCGCACAAACACGCACTCGCTGCGGAAGGCCGGGGCGGGCCGGGCCGCTGCGGGACTCCTGGCCGGGCGCCCTTGACGTCAGCGGCCGGGCCGTGACGTCACCGCCCCGCCCCCGCCCCCGCCGCGGGGTGCTCCATCTCCGCCTGAAGGCTGCGACTGGGAATGGCACAGCTGCCTTGTCGGGAATTAGTTCACTGACTCAGCGGCCCAGCGACGGCGGCCGCGGCCCCCGGGAGGGGTGGGCGGGCAGGCGGGCTGCCGGGCCGGGGGGCGCTCCCCTAGCCTGGGGGGCCTGAGCGCTCTCTGAATGTAGGTCACTGTCCCGCTCAGCCCTCCCTCCCCCAGCACCGCGAGCACTGAGAACGGGGGCCTGGCGCCCGCCAGGTGGGCCGGGGTTGGGTGCTGGCGGGGGACCAGGTCCCCGCGGACGCGCTCGCCGGCCCGGCCGCCGGCTCCTCCTCCCGCGCCGTCTCGCCGCACCTGCCCTCGCCGTTGGCCCTCTCCCCCGCCCGTCCCCTCTTCCTCCCGCGGGGCCGGGAAGAGCGGCCGGTTCCCGAGCCCGCGAGGGTGGCGGCTGTCCCCCAGCCCTCCCCGCCCTCCCGGAGCGCGCTCCCCCACCTCGGGGCGCGGGGCCGCGGCAGGCAAGGAGTGTTTCCCCCGCCCTCCGGCCCTCGCCTCGGGCGCTCCGGGCGGCCTCCGTCCCGGCGACCCGCGGGGCCTGAGCCTCCCTGTCCCTCCCTCCTTCCAGCCTTAGGCCGCCCCGTTCCGCCTCTACTCTTTCCGTCCTAACACGCAGGCGACGGCACTGAAGTCAGGCTCTCAGAGCCCGGCTCTGCTCGCTTTAGCTGCGAGACCTTGGGCTTGTCTTCTAACCTCTCTGAGCCCCAGCTGCCATCCGACTCTGAGAAGAGTAAAAACCTGCCTCACCGGGTAAAGTTGAATGATGCACGTAGAAGGGCCTAGAACTTAGCAGACTGTGGTAGCCGGTGCGTTGTGGTTTTACACTGGGGGAGGCAGAACTCCTGGGGGTGTGACTTCCCTGGAAAGACCCTGGGCACTTGAGCAATGAGAGCACCACACTGAGACTGTGGTGACACGAAGGGCTATAGAGTCTGGTGGGGCTGCCCGGCTGGCAAGGCTGGGGTCCTGCAAGAGAGGAGGCTCACTCACACCAGGGCTCCCAGCCTGAAGCCAGTCTTCCCCTCCCTCTGCTCTTATGGGCCCCAGCGGTGACCCGCTGGCCTTCTCTTTAATTCCGCAGCTTTGCATAGCGCCTCCCTGTTTCACAGAGTGGCAGCTTAATCACGAATGCTTACTCCTTCAACAGTATCATCCCCATTTCACAGATGGGAAAGCAGAGGTTTGGAGAGGTTAAGTGACTTGCCAGAGACCTTGGGATTTGAACCCAAGTGCTCCAGCTTCAAATGTCACCTACTCTCCAATATTCTACCTCCCCTCTTAGGACCACTTAGTTGCTAGGAGACAGCAAGCTGGTAGTTACTATGGGAACCAGGCAGATGCTTAAAGGGGAAAGAGTTGGTGTCTAGGAGCAAGGGGAAGCTCTAGGTGGTTCCGTGGCCCCTTCCCTGCCCCTCCCCGGGCAGGCAGCTCTTGGTTTTCAGCTCTTGGGTCTGGGTTCTGCAGCAGATGTTCTGTGACAGGGCCCGAGAGAGCTGCGGTGATGGTGAGTTACCCTGGACGCTGGCCTTGCCCACCAAGAGCCCTGGTGGAGGATGTGGTCCCAAAGATGGGTCTGTGGTGAGAGACAGCCTGGGCAGCCTCGGGCTCCTGCTTCCCCACGTCAGCTGCAGACAGCAGAGCAGAGCAGACCCTCTCCTTGGGAAACAAGAGACAGGGAGAGCATGACCATGGTGGGGCACAGAGCCATGCTGGAGGGCTCCGGACCCGGGCAGACACCTCAGTGTTCTCATCTGGAAAATGGGGGTGATGCTAGCCTCCCTCCCACAGGCAGTGTGTTGAGGAAATTGACAGAGATACAGAGCACTATGTCTGCCACCTAGACTTCACTGGCTGTGTGACCTTGGACAAGCCACTGAGTTTCTCTGAGCCTCCGTAAAATGGGATATTAATAGGTCCTACCTCATAGGGTTTTTGTAAGGATTCAAAGAGTGAATGCGGGTAAAGGGCTTCGAACAGGGCCTGGCAGGCTGTGAGGACTACCTATAGCATTAGCTCTTGTATTCTTACTGTAAATGCTCAGCAGCCCCAGAGGAACAGGTCGCTCTGGACCCAGCTCCTTCTCTCTCTTCCCTGTCTCAAGAGAAAAGCCTTCTGCTGCCCTCACCCCTTGCCAGGCACATGAGGAGCAGGAGTGAGGAACAGGACTCTCAGAAGCCCAGGCCTCTTCTGCTCCAAGACCCAAGGCCTCTGCCAGGCCCCTGCTGCGGGGACTCAGAGCCTGGAGGCTGGGGCCGAAGGGAGTGGGGGTGGCACCAGCAGCTAAATTTGCTTATGACTAGCCTGTCAGTCCCTTAATCTGATCCCCGAGGAAGAACGGCAGAGGCTTCACTCTGGATGACAAACGAGGAGGGGAGAGGCCTGCCCTGCCTGGACTCCTGGTGAGTAATGGCCTTGCATTAAGATATCAGGCCTGGCCAACAAGAACGTGCCCCCCCCCCAACAAGGCCGGAAGAGCTTGCAGAGAGGAGGCTGAGCCCCTGGGGAGGACTCGGCTGCTGAGGGATTTCCAGAGACACTTTGAGAGCAGGGGGCAGGGTGGGGGACACACAGAGACACAAGCCACAGAGATGCCCTGAAACAGAGACACAGCAGGGAGAGAAGAGAGAGAGAGAGGAGGGAGGGAGAGAGACAGTAGAGACAGAGGCTCACTGAGAGACAGAGAGAGGGGCAGGGGTGTCACAGAGACAGAAGCCCAGACAGAGGTGGCAGAGAAAGGGGAAGGAGAGAGGGCAGAAGGACAAAGAGACAGACAAGGGCTTGGAGAGAAGCGAGCAGGTGAGAGCAGAGACCCTGCACTCACGCAGGGCAAGGGAGTCTTAGTCGGGCAGAGGGCAGGCTGGGCAGTCAGCCACCAAGGGGGATTCAGATTCCTGTCGGGGGCTGTGTCCCTAGTCGCCTAGGGAGGGCAGGCTGGAGGCAGGGCTTCGAGGCTGGCCCTTTGATGTCCCTCTACTTGATCCCTAGCTCTTGGGCATGGAGGGTACTGGGTAGGGAAGCAGTCCTGTAAGAAGTGGCTTAGGCTGATGGGCAGGGCCTCCAACAACATGGACAGTGTCCTTCCCTGGGCAGCCTGCCTCCCAGAGAAGAGGGGGACCTTGCCCCCAGCAAGGGGGCAAACAGGGCCCAGGACAGAGGGCGAGCTCCAGCTCCAAGCCCCTGCACTGCTCTGCGGGCTCCTCCGTAGCAGACCCCAGATCCCCAGAGCCTGCGCGCCGAGGTGCTGGGCTGGCAGGTCGGGGCCTCTGGGAGAGGAGATGGAGCCAGGCAGGCCCAGGGCAAGGGTGGAGACAGAGCATCCCAGCGTGAAGGGGCGAGAGAGCACAGGGCAGAGGTGGACTCCAGACAGACTGTGGGGGCAGCCTGCCCCTCTGTCACCACGTTTCAGCCTCCCCTGGCACTCTCAGAGATGGCACTGTGTGCCATACCTCTGCCTGGGTTCAAGTCCCAGACCCACCCCTTTCTGTCCTGTGACCCAGAAGCAGTTGTGTGACCTCACTGTGTGGGGTGGTTGCAGCCCCTGCTGCATGAAGCTTCTGTGAAGGCTCACTGACCCGGTGCCTGGAGGACAGCTAGAATGGGGACTGCCACCTGCCAGCAGTTCCCTGAGCTTTGCAAATTCCCTTTCATTGTGTTATCTCCCCCAGGCCCCAGCCATGTCTGTAAGCAAGATGACACCTAGAGCGAGTCCCTGTATCTCCTTTATCTTCCTCACTGGGATGTCCCCAGTGGTTCATGCTCAGACCTGGGAATCCTGATTCACCTTGGTAAGTCATCAACATCCTCAGGCCTCAGTTTCTTCGTCTGCAAAATGGGCATACCGTGGGGTTCAGTGGAGCTAGTGCATGTAAGCTCTTCATAAGGCCCACAGAGGCCTGGTCCAGATACCCCAGCACTCTGAGGTCCTCACTGACCCTGTGTGTCCCCACACATGCACACGTGTTGGGAGCAGGGGAAGGCCTAGGAGCCTCCCAGAGTGGGCTGCTCAGGCACAGCTCTGAGGTGAGGGGCAGCCCCAAATCCCTGGCCCAGGGCCTCAGGCTGGGGATAGAGGTCAGGAGCCCAGCTACCTCCATCATCTGCCCCGTCCTCTCCAGCACCACCTTCACCTGCAACCCTGGAACCTTCCCTGCTCAGAGTCCTGGGGCTGTCCTCAGACGACCCCCGCCTGGTTTGATGCTCTGCTGCCACCATCTTGAAACGCTTAACAATCATTGAACAAGGGGCCCTGCCAATTACTTAGTGGGTCTTGCACTTCGCTCACTTGGGATTGCACAGTGGTTAAAGCTGCCCAGGTTGGTGGCTTGAACAGGGAGGGATGATTTGGAGACGAGGAGGGACAGCTTTGGGGTAAATGGGCAGGGTGGAAAGACCATGGGGGTGCAAGGAGTGCAGTGGGCTCACGTCCTTGAGCCCCAGCAGGACGCAAGGCAGAGGGGCTGTGCCCTTCTTCTGGGTAGGCCTGAGGGAGGGGGCTTGGGCTTGTCGTGGGGGACGGGTGTTACTGGGGTGACCACGGTCACTGAGATCTTCCTTCAGCTGCCCCAGATCTCCCCGAATCGCCCAGCTTTGACCTGTGGTCCTGGTTAGCTCCCAGTCCTCCTGGGCTTCCGGAGCCTGGTCCAGTGCTGCCCTGGACATCTGGGTCCTTCAAGGCCTGCGTCTCTCACCAAGCACCAGCAGGAGGCACCCCCACACCTGCTCACAGAGACCCCACCGGCCCAGAGACCATAGGCCTGGGGTGGGGGTGGGGAGGGCCTGGCGGGTGGTGGGGAGGGTGCTCAGAGCCCAGCAGGTGTCCCACCAAAGCCTCGCCCCCCAGGGCCGCCCCCACTCCACCCACAGTCAGCTTCTCTGCTCACGCCCTCAGTCCCACCCACCAAGTCCTCAGCCTTAGTGCCAGCCCAGGGCCAAGTCTGGGGCCTGGTGGGGCCTCACCTGCTGTGGATTCACTTCCCTCTGAGCCTCTGGTCCCTGCCTGAAGGTTGCATGGACTAACTGTTCCTAAACCCGGTTTGTTCACCCAGTGCTTTAGTACTATTCCCAGGCCACCCCAGCTGGAGGTCAGGCCTGGAGTCAGTATGTTCACCATGGACCAGCTCCCTTGTGTGCTGTGACTCCACCTGGGAGCCCAGTGGAATGGCTGGTGGCCATGCAGTTGCTAGAGCCCCTTCCCGGAGGCCCTGTGGCTGTGCTGGCTTTGTGCCCAACTGTCACTCTCTTCCCCAGCGGTTCCTCATGGCGGCTGCCTGCCTTCCTGCCTCCCATTAATCATGTGTGCAGGATTTATTTTCTCTAGCAATTTATTTCAGCGAATGCAATCTGGGTGTGCCCGCAGGTGGGCAGGATGCTCTGCTGCTGCCTAAGTCATGGAGCCCGGCTTTATTATCCAGTTGACAGGCATGATTTGCCAGCTAGCTGCCAGGCCTGGCCAAGCCCCGGGACCGGACACTAGGGACCCCAGGGACAGTCCCCACTCCCATGTTACTGTGAACTTCGAGATCCCATAGGCCTGGGAGGTGCAGCTTGCCGCCCTTTCTTTGCTGGGGTTTTGCTGCCCCTGCCAGTACTAGCTGGCTAGAGGGGCGTGGGGCAGATGAGCCCCCTCTGTCCTCAGCCTGAAGCAGGCAGTCAGAAGTCTTTTCTGAAGACTCAGGCGGTGGCTCTTTTCAGTTTCCTGATCTGGGGAAGGAGGGGTCTTCCTGCTGAGCCACCTCCTCTCGGCACTGCCAGGCAATCCAGCCCTGATTCCCATGACAGTCACGCAGGGAAACAATCAACTAATGCAAACCCCGCCACCCCCATCCCCACACCCACAGCACGCGTCCTCCGTCCCAGGGCTCCCTGTCATGCTTTAGTCACCCTGTGCCCCTCTCTCCAGATTGCCCGGTGCAGCGGCCTGGGGTAAGTAAAACATCATGGCTTCTGAGGCCAGGGCAGGAGCGGGGTGGTCCAGCCATGGTTTCGGGTCTGGAGCCCTTGCTCAGGCCAAGGAAGCAGAAAGGGAAAGGGCTGTGGGCAGCAGCGGGCGTGGCCATCCACCTGGCCTGGCCCTCCCCAGCCTTTTGCAGCCTTCCCATGCCCCCACCCCTGCAGTGGGCACTTGCCTCCTCCCTCAGTGTACCTCAGGTTCAGCCTGAGGCCCCGCCCCCAGCCTGCCCTGCCCGGCTGGGATGCCTCTAATGCTGCAGATAATTCCTGCTGTCGCAAAGCCATTACCCTGCAAATGGGCCAGCTGCAGCGTGTGTGTGTGTGTGTGTGTGTGTGTGTGTGTGTGTGTGTGTGTGTGCGTGCTTGCGAGCACGGGCACACACGTGTGTGCAGGGGAGGGGGTGACTGCAGCACGCAAAGCGCCTTGTGTATCCCTCACTTACCTCTGTAATTGCCTTGGGGGATTTATTGGCTTTGTATGCTCGCCCTGCACCCTCTGGGCCTTCTCCTCTGGTCCTTGCCTGGCTGCTGGCCTCTGCTGGACCCTGAGTGATGGGGCCTGGAGCTCTAGGCCGGGGCCGGACACACCAGCCCAGGGTGGTGAGGTCTTGCAGAGGGGCCCCTGATGTGTGTACACACCCCGTCCTACTCTAGGCCTGCAGCTGGACTCAGAAGGACGAGTGGCTGAGGCACCCCCACGTGGCTTCCAGACCTCAGGGGCCCTGAGGAGTAGCGCCAATCTGGGGGTGCAAGGTGGATGCAGAAAGGACACTGGAGAGACTTTGGTGGCACTCATGGCCATGGTTTCTCCTCTTCCTCCTCCCTCTGGCTCCCGGACCCCCACGTCTGCTTTGTCTGCCATCTACAGACCCCCACCCCCACCCCCAGGTGTCCTCCCAGCTGTTCTGCTCATGCCCTCCTGCCTCTCACAGCCAGGTCTGCCACAGGGGGAGGCAAAGCATTGGCCCCAAGCTTCTCATTTCAAGAACCTTTGACCTTGAGTGTGCATACTTCAGCACACTCCTGCAGGGTTGGCAGTCAGGAGGCACCTGTGGACTCCGGAGACAGAGCTGGGCAGAGGTCAAGCGTGTGGCCCTTAGCAGCAGGCAGAACAGGTCTCAATATCTTCTCCAGTCTCTAGCAGAGTGGTCTTGGCCATGTCACTTAACTTCTCTGAGCCTCAGTGGCCTCATCGCCAATATGGGTCTGATAACACCTGCCTCAAACAGTTATTGTGAAGGTTAAATACATAGTAATACAGCAAACTACAGGAAATTGCCTTTATTCGACCTGCTTTTGACATTAATAAATATTTATTGGGTGAAATACTACATCAATAAACTCTATATCACCGATTAGGTTGATGCCTGCACTTTTCTTTTATACTCTCGATGTTTTGTATTTGTATAAATGCTACCTGCTGATTTTAAAGAATTCAAGGAACACAGGAAAGCACAAAAAAGGAAGTAAAAAGCAAAACAATAAAAATAAATCTCAATTTCAGGAATTAAGCCATCATTAATGAATAACCACCATTTCCAGCAATCTTTTTACATTGATACAGATAGAAGTTTAGAGAGATAGATTGATAGAAATATTGCTATGAGTAGGAACCCTATTGAACATTTTAATATAATTTATAAAATCTAGTTTTAGTTTATGTTAACAAAAGAAAATGAATGGAAGTAACGCCACAGGGAACCACATGACTCTAGTAAATGCCTCTTTATCACAGGGATAGTGTTTTCTAAAAAGATCATGTTAGCAAAAAGATTTGACAGCAACAACAATGGAAATATTGATCAGGGAGAGTCTATTATGTAGAAGGAGGAAAAAGGTGACTACCATAATCGAAATTGAAGGTATTAAATTAGCAAATTTCAAAGAAATACAGCTGACAGCCAGATTGAGAAAAGGGAAAGAAAACGTACGAAGAGAGATCACATGAGAAAAAGAAAAGACAAAAGACGAAAAAAGAACAGGAGAGGAAACAGGCGGAACCGTGCAGGGGTTTGCATGCTGCTCACCACGCGGTTACACAGGGGTCTTCAGCGGCATGGGTGGCAGTCTGGCGGCTTCCATGCCCGGAATATTGGGTGAGAGGGAGGGGAGAGGCTAAGGGTCACACCAACCACAGGTGAGTGACACCTTGCATGCAGATTCCAGGACCACCCCATTCCCAGAGAGAAAGTTGAGGCCGGAACTCCGAATCCTAGCCCGAGTGGCCTCTCCTCCCAAGAGCCCCTGACCTCAGCTGCCCTTGCACCTCAAGGCATAAGACACCGGCTCATGGCCACTTTCATGCCTACAGGCCACCCGTGGCCAGCAGGGCTGGCGTAGCTGCAGATCCCACTCTCCTGTCTAGGGGCATGGCCTCCAAAGGCAGCTTGGTTGGTTCTTGGGTGAGTCTCCCTCCTACCCCCTTTTCCCACTCTCCTGGAGAAGCCGAGGAGGTCAGGGTAGTTTGGGACAGAGGGAGAGAGGGAGGGACAAGCACCTCCAGGACACAGAGGTCCTAAGGAGGGGAGGAAGAGGAAGGCCCTTCCCCAGGCACCACTGTGGAGATGCTTCCGCCCCAGGGCAGTGAGTGCGTGGGTCTCTCCTCTCCATTTCCAGAGGCCCAGCCCCCAGCCACACCCTGAATACAAGACAGTGACACTGTGCCCCAGCGAGGAGGCTTTGGGGCTGACTCAAGTCACCTGAGCCCATGGGAACCTGCTGGCGTTTTTCCAGAGATAGTGAGGAGGTCCAAGGTCCTTTCCCGGCTTCTCTGGAAAGGGGTGGGCTGGGCCGGGACTTCCCTTTGCCTGTGGGAGGGGTCAAGGGGGAGCAGCTGTGGCCTGGGGGGACGCCCAGGGGCAGAGGCAGGACCTGCAAACAGCAGGCAGCAAGAGCTCCTCTCCTCCCAGGCAGGAGAGGTGGGGCCTGGAGGGGGAAGGGGGAAGAGGAGAATCCAGGGGACTTCCAGGTCCCCTCTGCATCCCCCCTGCACCCTGGACAGTCAGCCTGCCCCCATGAAAGGAGGAGGAGGAGGAGGGGAGAGCATGGGACAGCAGGGGGGTCCTCGGCTCTGTGCCCCTCTAAGCCTCGTTAATCCCCTGTATCTGGCAATAACTGCGTTAAGTGCTGGTGTCCACAGGCCCCTCAGAAAATATCCCTTCTCTTCCCTGACCCCCTGACTTGGAGGAAGAGGACCGGCCAGGCCTGCCAGAGGAGGGTGGCCCCAGGGCTGGACAGACTGGCCTGGGCGTGGAGAGCAGGAGCGGCCAGAGTGGAGCGGAAAGGGAGGCGGCAGGGGAGCAGACAGCCCAGGGCTGCTTTGGGCAGCTGGAGGCTGAAGAGCCAGGAGGCAGGACACTCAGCCCTGGGGCAGGAGGGGCCGGCACTGACCATTCCTTCACTTGGGACAGGCGTGTCCCGCTCTGGTGAGCTCAGGCAAGCCCTGCTGTCCTGCGGCAGACAGACAACCACTGACCAAACTCACCCTGAAGACAGCTCTAACCCTTACGGGGGAACCTCGGCTCAAATCTCCATCCAAGACAGCTTCATTTTCCCAGGCCCTGCCCTCTCCTGTGTGGGCGGGAGACCCCTTTCCCACTGGAAGGTGCTGCTGCCTTCCGCTCGGGCCAGACTTTGGGCCTTCTCCACCCTCCGGTGGCAGCTCCCACCTGTAATCCCAGCACTTTGGGAGGCCGAGGAGGGAGGACCACTTGAGGCCAAGAAGCCGTAGAGAGCGATGAGCCACTGAGCTGCAGCCCAGGCAGCAGAGCGAGACCTGGTCTCCCAAAACAAACAGAAACTGCAGTCTCCCTCTCCCTTCTCCCCTCCCAGGGGCTGGCCGAGCTTCAGGGCTCCAGTTGGAGGAGGAGCCGTGGTTGGGACTCTCTCCTCTGGTGCTGGGGTAGGGAGGGAGGAAGGGACACTGGGCTCCTGACTTCCCTGAGCCAGGGGTCCCCAGAACCACGGCCACTGCCCTACTGCTGCTGAGAGCCTGGCACAAGCGGTGCCAGCAGCCCCGGCTGCCCGCGACGGAGGGCTCACTCGGGGAGGCTCCCCTGGGCACAGGGCCCGGTGCTTAGCAAGGCCTCGCACTTGGTGTAATGCTCCGCTGTTGCTCTTTTAAAATCCTTAATAATTAGGCTTTTTTATGTTTTGAATTAATTTTCTTTTATAAGATTATGGAGAGAAGGAAAAATTTTTAATAATTGTTGAACAAGCGGCCCTGCATTTTCATTTTGCACAGGGACCCCAGCAAATTACGTAGCCCAGTCCTGCCTGCCTGCCAGATGTGTGCCTTGTAGCGTGGGGCAGCTGGTGACGTCCTACTGCGCTGCACCTTGCCCCCCACGCTTCAGGGGGTTCCAGAAGCCTACCTTGCCCCCCACGCTTCAGGGGTCTCCAGAAGCCTGAAGCCACTGGACTTATCCACGCTCAGGGGCGACACTCAGGCCTGGGGCATACGTGGGATCTCAGGTCCCATCTGCTGATTCTTAGAGACCAGGAGCCTCGGAGGTGGGGGGCTGTAGAGCCCCGCCCCACCCAGCGGTCCCCCACATCATCGCTTCAGGAGTCCCTGGCCAGGGAGTCCTCTGGCTAAGCCGACATCCAGCTGGGCACCGAAATGCAAGCCTCTCCCTCTGGCAGCTCCCCATCCTTGACCCGGGAATTCCTTGATTGCTCCTGGGCCACCACCCCTCCTTCCCTGGCTGGGGAAGCCAGGGGAGATTCTGGCCACCTGTTTCCCTCTCTTGTTTTCTTATTTTCTTGGGGTAAGGGCCTGGCGGGAATTGCACAGATTCTGACCCGAGCCCCTTACTAAAGGGCGGTCTGGGGCCTACTGCTGGCGCCCACTTAACTGGACTGTGGGAGACTAAGCCCCTTCTACCCGGCAAGAACCCCCTTCAACATCTTGTAACACAGACGTGACTGCTTTGAAGAAAATACAAGAGGGTTATGTGACAAAACAAGAGGAACCGCAGGGACAATGGCCTGGAAGGCCTCTCTGTGACATTTTGATGGGGGAAGCAGACAAGGAACAAATGCACGCATAAATAATAATAAATAAAATACGCCAGGCACCGCGGCTGTTATCCCAGCACGGTGGTAGGCCAGGCGGGAGGATCACTTAAGGCCGGGAGCTTGAGACCAGCCTGGGCAACACGGCAAGACCCCGTCGCTACAAAAAATAAAAAGTTAGCCAGGCGTAGGGTGTGAACCCCGTAGTCCCAGCTACTCTGGGGGCTGAGGGGGCCATCAGCCGAGTCCAGGCAGTCAAGGCTGCCACTGCGAGCTGTGTTTGCACCGCTGCACTCCAGCCTGGGTGACAGAGTGAGACAATGTCTCAAAATCATAATAATAAGAATAATAATAATAATTTCATGAGACATGGATTTAGATGTGTTTCTCAAGAAGCAACCAGTGGAAAGGGACGGAACTGACCCAGACCTGGGTGGGTATACCTAGAGGAGAGGAGAGGGCTCATGACCAGGCTGTGGGGACAGGAAGTTGGCAGGGGAGCCAGAGCGCCGTGGACGGGCTTAGAGCAGAATTGCAAATCCACGCTGTAAGGGCCCCTGTTTCTCTGGCAGTGGCTGGGTTCTCACAGTGAGGGACAGAAAATAGAGACGGCAGCTCTGGTCGGATGGTTCCTCCTGCCACCCTGAAGGCTGCTGAGGCAGCAGGGAAGCAGGGAGCAGGAAGGCTCTGGCCTGGCAGGATCCAGGGGGACAAGGGACTCAGGTGTCTGATGGGCGGGACACTCTCCTTGAGGAATTCCCCGGGGGGCTGTGTCCACAGCTTTGCTCCCCTCGGCCTGGAGGCAAGCACCTGAGGGACAGAAGCTGGGGGACAGGTGTGAGGCTCGCCCACCCGCTTTGCTGTCTGGGCGCTCTACCTTGACAGCTCTCCCTCGGGACCACAGATAATCTTCCCTCCACACTTTCTCAAACCTCTGTTTACGCTTCAAACTCAGGCTGTGTTGAGGTCACCCCCTCTCTGCCAAGAATTTGGAGATCGTGGGTAAAAGGCTACCCTGCAGGAGGGACAGATACTCTGATGAACACGCGTAACTTCCAGCGTCATAAAATTCACTCCCAACCACCCATACACGGACGGTATCCTCAGGGCATCCCTGAACCAGAGGTCTTGTTTGTGTGCAGCGGGTGTCACAGGGAGGGGAAAGTGGGTCCCCAGAGTGGCGCTGGTGCATGGCGGACCGCTGGCTTTCCAGGGAAGAAGATCCCAGGCTCATAGCATTTGCTGATTCCTGTGATATAGATACTGCCACCAAAGTGGCCCTAGGGTCACCGGCATGAATTGGGGTGTCAGGGTACTTTTGGGGCCCCAG